CGACCTCTAGTTGACAACATTGGAAAACCAGCTCAGAGTACTGGGCAGCTGTTTCGTCCTACATTGAAACTACTCAGTAGTAGGCACCTCTCAAAGTTCGAATCCACAACCTTGCATTTACAAGTTGAGCTCCTAGACAGTTAGTAACATTCAATTGAATTTTTGATTTTCCGTCGATTGATTGGACCGAAGTGCTCGGTCTCAGGTTGACATGTCGGCTTCTTGTGCAGATGCTTCGACGATGTCTGGGTATTTAATTAGTATACAATTGGTGGATGGTGGCTAGCAGTGGAATCCAGGATGCGCATTTCGTCCTATTTGGGACTCGTCAGCTGGATGTACCTGCATTTCTCAGTGAATGGTGATGTTAGTAACATTCTTTACTAAAACCCAGTAATTCAGCGTACGTTTACTCTGGGAAAAGTTAAAGGAAGAAGAGACAAGACGCATTTAAGCTTTCTGTCTATGTTTTTTTTCCAATGAATAAATGTAGTCTCTATAATATGAAATAATTCGGGTGGATAATGACTAGCATTGGGATCCAGGATGCGTATATCGTCCTGTTTGGGACTTATCATCTGGATGTACCTGCATTCCCAATGCAGCTCGAAATCAGCATCTCATCAAACGCCAAAGCCTCAATGGGAACACCATCACTCACTCACTGGGGAATGCAGATACATCCATATGACGAGTTCAAAACAGGACGGATTGCGTGCGTTCTGGATTCCATTGCTAGTCATCATCCACCGATTTGCTTCAAGATCAGATATGGTTGAAGCATCTTCACAAAGAGCTGATATGTCAATCTAAGGTCGAATACTTCAGTCCAATCAGTCAGTGGGAAAGTTCAAATTGAATTAAATAGTAGCCTCTATAATGTTAAATAAAGTGGAATTCTCCTTCGTACTAAGTATTTCAAGTGTTCAGATCTATTTCTTCAATTAGCAAAGTATACTACGAAGTAGAATGTAAGCACTGATTACCAACTATGACACTGGCTAGCGGTTGCGCTACATGTTGCAAATTCACAGAAGTTAGAATTCATGTTCAAATGATTAGGTAGCTGGACTTGTAACACGAAGGTCCGGGGATGAATCGTTAGCTAACGTTAGGATCATGGGTGTATAATTGTAAAGAGTCTCGAACAAGGAAGAAACAGTCGTCCAGTACTTCCTGGTTTTAAACAGTCATATAATTCGTGTTGTCATTTCGTAATCCAACTTGGAGTTTTATTATTAAAATATATAAATAATATTTATATTACGTTTTGGGGAAAATTAATATCTTGATGAGTTGTTTAGTAACAAGCTGATGAAGTACGGCTAAGTGCTTATTAAGGCAGTGTTGCTGCGATAATGTAGTCTGATAAATCGACTTTTAATAGCGAGTTTAGTTCTTTGTGAGTTTAAAATGACAATTCCATATTAGTTTGTTTATTATATCGATCATTCTGCATACTTTAGACGGCGAATAAAAGGTGATAATTATTTTCAACTAGATATGGTTTACGAGATGTATCACACAGTGAAAGAATATTATTTACTGGATGACGTTCCAAACAAAATTTTTTGTCCATAATCATATCAATTGTAATCACACGACTATGAAACTTGAGTTTTATAGTTTTCTTTGTTCTCTCCTATTTGTCGTCGTAGGGGTAGTGGAATTTCCCAGATATCTGGGTGGACAGGTGTTGAATCATTTCCTGTCTTAAGACAAGAAGTGATACACATAAAAGAAGCCTTGAAACTTAATAATTACCCTGATAAATCAGTAAGGAAATATGTAAGGAAATGTAAAAATAAAATAAATAATGATAGTAGTGATAGTAATAATAATAATAATGATAACAATAATAATGGTAATAATAATAGTGATAATGATAATATAATAATATTAATGACGACATCCATCTCAAATATGCGCAAGACAACACCGACAATAAGGAATCTAAATCATCAGTAGAGATTCCATTCAAAGAAGGAATCTCGGAAACCTTACACACAATTCATAACAAGGCAGGCAGCAATAAGTGTCCGGCATTCAAACCAACCACAAACTCAATTAGAAACAAGCTTCGTCGGTTGAAGGATCAATCCTGTGGAACCGTTAAAACAAAACAATTTAGTCTATCTAATACCCTCCCTGCTGGGATGGTTGTCAGATCAAATGCATAGGTCAAGCTAGTAGAACAGGTGCAGTTAGTCAGACTAGCTGAACATAAAAACCTTGCCCAGCTTTTGCACATATATTGAAAATGACAATTATTAGGGAATTTTATGAGGTAGCATTTTTCTGTAAGATTGCTTGTAAAAGGATAATGATTGCAGCTGACTGCTGAGTGTTGACTTCAAAGAATTAGCTGAAGAAACATTCAGAAAACCAAGGAGTACTGGACAGTTGTTTCGTCCTAGTTTTGAATTGTTCAGCAGCGTACACCCATTAGCTTACAGCTAAGGATCGAACTTTGAACCTTTTGCTTCAGGAGAGCCCGCTTATCGTTCAGTCTTTTCGCTGGATCTCAATCGGTCATGAATTCTAACTTCCTTCAATTTACAACATATGGCACCAAGGATAGCGTTGCTAAAAAATTTGAAATGATTTAATTTCCATAATTAACTCGGTTGTAAGGGTATTGTGACGACGATTAAAGTGTAATTACAGACCCCTAGTTACGATAACAGCTGGTTTAGGACCTCAGTAAACACCGTGAAATCAAGATCTTGTCAGTAATTATTTCTTCCACCTGCCTAAGTAACCTAGTGGTAAATCCTCATTAACTTTTTCATGAGGTATAACACATAGTGGAACATTTTTAATTTACTAGATTGCGTTTAGAACACAAGTTATTATTCATAATCATATCACTTATAACTACGCAACTTTGAAACTTCCGTTTTATAAATTTTTATTCTTTACTATTTGTCTTAGAGGTAGTAGAACTTCTCAGATGTCCAGAAAAGGTGATGAATCATTTCTACTGCATGTATCTTCAGTTGATTCGATAAGTGAAGCTTTTGTGATCAGTTCCTCTCTCTATTCCACTGTATCTAGCAGTTTAAATGGATGTGTGGTCGCGTACATAGAGAGAGGACTTATCCATCTTTGAAAGTAAGAACTTCACAACACATCTCCAAATGGCTTCACAAGCTAACTGAATTCCCTGAACTCTCTAATGGTGAAAACAGACGACCTAGTTCTTCTATTACAAAACATATTTCAGAGACAGGACATAAAATTGATGTTTACATGTCTTTTAAACCTATCTATACAATGTGTTTGGGCCGTATCCTAAAGTTGGTGTAGAATTAAGATGTTTAAACCACCTTAATGCGTTCAAAATCAATTCGTCATCACACTAAAACGTTTTTAGTAAACTTTGTTTTGATATAAGATTAATGTACTATTTAATGATCTTCATTGTTATTTGGTAAGAATATCAAAAGCATTTCCTCCCTGACTTTTGATGAGCAACATCATTTAGTGCTTCCTTTTACTTCTATTAAACTTATCAGTTTAAAAAAAAGGAATTTTCATGCATATATTCCCCTTAATGAATTTGAATAAAGTAAAAACAACATTTTTGCAGGATAAAATGGTACCATCATTTATTTCGTTGCCTTCTCATCAGCTAGCTGCTTACAGCCCAAAGACATTATTGAGTATATCTACAGCAACAATTTTAACAGTCTTGCACAGAGTTGATTTTTAAACGAAAATCAATCAATCAATATATGCCTAGAAGGGTAATAGTTATAACAGTAGTCACTCTATTCCAAATAATAATGACAAAACACAAAGGAAAATTTCGGCGTTGCTTAGTCAGATGAAAGAGAAGATGTAAACATCCAGTTACCAGGGTCAGGAAACACTGATAACCGCTCCTTTTTGAACTAATAAATCGGGTTTCAGGCGATTGATGGAGATGGCTTCGGCAAAATTAAGGAGAATTGAACTCTTCTGCCTATGGTAATTTCGAACGATTTTGTGACCCGTGTGAAGGAGATGCCTGGCGATGGCACTGTTGAAAGCATTCGTTTCCTTTAAACATAAGCTTTTCGGTACATGTTCAGAAAATCGTAGGTATGCCCTTCTTTCTGTCTTTCAATGTAACTGCTCCCGCAGATACATGTAAATTTGTATATACAGTTGGAATTAACATGAGAAGAATATCCATCGACTTTCGACTGCAACAAAGAGCAAGTTGTTCGACAGACAGGGACGGGCTTAGCCGCAGGATAGACTGTGGCTAGTGACGTCCTTAATCTTCTGTTGGCAATAGCTGTATTATTTTCACATTTATAATCAAGTCGACTGAAGATGGACTTTTCTGCCATTGTAATTTGCTTGATATCTGAGCCTTCATATCTTCCGTACTTGTTAATACGTTCAGAAAGAAGCGGTTATCAGTCTTTCCTTGCCCTGGTAACTGGATATATGTCCTCTCTTTCATCTGATTATGTAACGCCAGAAGTTTTCATTTTGACCAGTAGAGTACAGAAAGTCGAAGGTGAGAACAGTTACTCATTGAAGGAGATACTACCAAATGGTTGGCAGAAGTGGGAATTCATGCATGGCCATTAGACTGGGTCCCAGTGGCTTAATGGCCTACCACTTCGCCTTATAACCAGGAGGTCGTGGGTTCGAAACCCGGTAAGAGCGTACTGATGAAGAGTCAGAGGCTAGGCTGACGAAACAGCTGTCCAGTACTCCCAGGTTTTCTAACCTACCTCAGCTCACGATGAAATCTGTCAGCTAATCAAACATATAATCTCTACAAATCAATACCTGAAAAATTGATTGATTTCCGTTTAGAAATGAACTCTGTGCAAGTATGTCTTTGGGCTGTAAGCAACTAGCTGGTGAAAAGCCAACCAAATAAATAATGATGGTACTATTTTCTTCTAAAAAAAACTGTTGCTCATACTTTATTCATAAAGAGAAATAGTTTTTATTCATTTTCCGTTGCTATTGTTTATTTTTTTTAAATACTCAAGCCTACAGAGTCAAGATTTAGAAAACCAGTCAGTCGACCGTCTTCATTGCAACAAACTCCTTATTATCAGGCTCATAAATCAAAATCATTTGGAGATTTAGGAGAGGCAGTGAAAAATGTACCTCCTAGTCTACTAGCGAATGTAGAAAATTTACAAAAATCACGTGCTCTTAAAAGAGCACCAATACAGTAAGAAAAAATTTTTTATTGTGTTACTTATTGACTTATTTATTTATTTTCCATTCTTTTAAGTTTCATTTTTTTTTAAACTATGTTGCATATATATTTATAATTCATTGTTATTCCCTCGCGTTCCGAGTGGAACAGAGGGCTTCAATAGAACCTTTCCATGTTGTCATATTCTCCACTATCTTCTTCATCTACGCCTATGATTGACAATAAGCTTTCATTTCCTGTTCGCACAATCTCCTCCATGTCACCAACGGACACATGGCAAACTCGTCGTTTCATGTTCGGGTTCTACTCCAGCGATGGTCTGGCGAGCGACATCATCCTACGGTCTCCTCAGCCTGAGCCCAGCCCATCTCCATTCTCTTCGACGTAATACTTAGTTCTTGGTTAGTTCGTTTTCAGAGTTTCTTGTTTCTAAACCTTTCTGACCGGCCATTTGATATTCCGTAAGGAGCTGATTTCATCATGAGCTGACGTTAGTTAGAGAAGCATTGGAAAACCTAGGAGTACTGGTTCACGACTCTTCATCAGTACGAACCCGTCTCAATAAACGATCTGTTGCCTTGCCATTGTCTTCTGTCGTTCTAATACTACTACTACTACTATTACTAAGCATCATTTCTTCTTCTTTTTCTTCTTGTTCTCTTTGTTTTAATCTTTATTCAAGTTTATTATGTCATCGTGAATTTGACCGAACTGCAAGGAAACCTGATACACTCTATGAACAATTTGCTAAAGATGAAGAATACTTTCACCAAGTTGTCAATTATCTCCCGCATTATCAATATACACTGCCAATACTGTTAAAAATACAAAATAATCTATTACAGGCAACACCAGAAAAAGAAGCAAATGAAAAAGCTAAACGACCAAAATTAGCAATCATTAAAACACCAATGAAATCAACTAATGATATTTATAAACCCAATCAATGGAATCCTAATCGTAGAGCTTATATAGAAAATCCAGTCAAGATAACTGATGTATTGAAGGGTAGAAATGAATGTAGAATATCTGAAAAATATTATAAAAAATGTCAAACATCAGTGTTGTCATCATCCAGTATAGCATCATTATCAAATTCAACAGGTAAACAGTATAACTATTCAAATACACATAGGATGAACACTGTATTCAATGAACAGAAGCTGTCAAACGGATATTCTTCTTCACTGGTGAAATGTAATACCGGCAAGGAGAATGATAATAATAATAATAACCGTCTTCTAAAAAACTTCCAGATAGAAATCATTCGAATGTCTTAAAATTACCAAAAATAGTTAATGAAAATAAAAAAAGACATTCTAAATTCCTAACAATATCACATTCAGCTATACCTAGACAAAAAGAATTAGAAGATCAAACATTTTCATTAATGGATAATTTAACTCTATGGCAAGTAAGTTTTTAATATATGTGTAAAATTTCGGCACTGCTATGGTAGTAAGTAATTCCATATTAGTTTGTTTATTAGATATATCACACAGTGAAGTGAAACAGTATTGTTTACTGGATGACGAGGTTTCGAACAAAATTATAATCACACGATTTCGAGACTTGAGTTTTATAGTTTTCTTCGTCCTCTCCTATTTGTCGTCGTTGGGGCAGTAGAATTTTCCAGACCTCCGACTGGACAGGTGTTGAATCATTCCTATTAAATGTATTTGCAGTTGATTTGATTGACAAGCTTCCGTTGTTATCAGTCTCTCCTTCCACCCTGTGACATTAGATTTTAAGACTGTCATCCTATCCCGTCCTATTGTGTGGTTGTGTGTGATTGCATGCAAAGCTTTAGCTGAACTACATGCGGAAATGACGAGAATATCAAAGCAGCGAGGATCGGGAAAGCAAGACAAGCTTTCATTACTCTCAAGTCTGTGTGGAGATCAACAGCACTCAGAATCAAAAATAACATCCGGATTTTCAACTCCAATGTAAAGTCAGTGCTTCTATACGGATCAAAGACTTGGTGAGTCATAAGGAGCATCTCAAACAAACTCCAGACCTTCATCAACAGCTGTCTTCGCTCATACTACTCAAGATCAGATGACCGGCCAGAAAAGATCAGAAAGAGGGATCTCTGGCACTGAGCGAACCAACCCAGCAGGAACCGATTGTGCAACAAATAGGCAAGAAGAAATGGAGATGGATTGGCCATACTCTGAGGAAACCACCAAGTGATATCACTAGACAAGCAATCGCTCGAGAGGAACCCAAAAGGGAAGCGGCGAATTGTTCGTTCAAGGGTGACTTGTAGGGGTCATGTGAAGCGGAGATGAAAGCGTGTGGGCAGACTTGGAGTGGGGTGAAAACTTTAGCAGAGAACCGAAGGCAATGGAGATGCGCAGCTGAAGCCCTATGTTCCTCTAGGAACTAAAGGATAAAATAATAATAATTGGGTTTGTGGGTTTAAATGCCGGCCACTGTTACTACTGCCTTGTTAAGAATTCTGCGTAAGGTTTCCGAGGTTCCTTCCTTGTACGGAATTACTACTGATGATTTAGGTTCCCTATTGTTGGTGTTATCTTGCGCATGTCATTTGACACGCATGTCGTCATTAATATTACTATTATTTGTCAAATGAAGCAATTTTAATGGCTTAATAAGGCTTTGATTCTAACTGGAGGACTTCTGAAGTTCATGTCAAACTGTTTCACTCCAATATAAGTATCAGATCGCGTCTAAATCCTTCGGTTCAGTCAATCAGTGAGAAAATCATTATTGAATTTTTTTTAGAGTGACACCTGTTGCACAAGAAGTGGTTCTCGTGTCTCAAGTAGTCTATTGGATGACGTTTTAGAATTCGAAACGATGGGTACTAGGTTCGAGCGTCAGTGGGAATGTCATCATCACTCATTGGGGAGTATAGGTAAACCCGCTATCGACGTGTGCCAAATAGGACGAAATACGCATCCTGGATTCCACTCCTGGTCACCATTCACCCAAATTACTTCAAGTTAATCCTAGGATATCATTGAAGCGTTTTCACAAGAAGCTGACACGTCATCAGAGGCAGAATATCTCAATCCAATCAATCAAAATTCAATTATAACTCTAACATAATTGGAGAATCAAAAGTGTATCTTTCCCAATACTCCCCGCAATCCTATCTCGACTCATAATTCTGATTGGTGGATTACTACTTGTCTAAAATAGAATAAATGATTGTACGTGGGAAAAACCCCTATGTAATATAAATTTAAAAAACACAGGTGAACAAAGAATATTCTTTGCAAAACTTCTTTTTTCAAAGCTGCACAGTTAAATACTATTCTAAAATGTCATAGAAATCCTAATAAGGATCAATTATTGCTAGTATTATTATTGTATTATTATCATTATTATTCCATTGTGTTCTGAATTGAATATAAGGCTTCAACAGCACATCTTCATCCCACTCTGGTCTCTTAATTCCTCTTTAGTTCACTCCATAACTCCCCATAAGATTTCATTTCCTCCTCAAATCATCCCCTCCATAACAGTCTAGGACTCACATCAATCTAGTTGCGTCCCATTCAGGTTGCACTAGAGATCCTACCTGGAAGGCGATGTCACTCAACGGTCTTCTGTGTGCATTTCCAATCAAAGTTCACTTCATTCTCCATAATTGTTGGATGACAGGTTGTTAGGTGGATCATTTCTCGCCGACCATTCGCATGGTCCGAGGTTCGAACCCCTGCCGACGCACACCTGATATCTATGGTCGGCCTGCAAAATTTGGGCTACCGATATCACATGCTGAAAATTCCATACTTGTACCAAAAATACAGTGTGGAACCAAGCTGTAATCAAAATAAAAATAAAATAAATTCCTTGCTGCTTATATTTTTTGACCGGCCTGTGAACTGGTCTTCTACACCAAGCGAACACAGCAGTTGTTTGAAATGTTTTTTATGACTCAGCAGATCTCTGAACCATATAGAAGCACTGACTGATTTGATATTAGTGTTAAAGATCCGGAATTTCTGTATCTTTATGCTGTGTTCAACATAGTTATTGTTACATAAAAGGAAATCCTTTCACTATGTATACAGATGTGGATTATTCAAGCCTTTAAGCCTATTTTTGACCTGTACATTAATGGGGTATGTAATCCATCTTCATTTGTTATTTTTCTCCTTCTTTGTTTTACACACCCTTTGAACGTATTCTGAATCTCTTGTTCTTTAACCCTAAGACTTTCTAAACGCTATTCATCATTTAGTGTGTTTAGACTACTTATAGAAAATCAAAACAAGTGATTCACTCTTGACAACGAATTTATTGCATGGAGGATTTCATCATGAGTTGACATTAGTTAGAGAACCACTGGAAATTCTGGGAGTACTGGACAGCTGTTTCGTCCTAGTTCGGGACTCTTCATCAGCACGCACCCATCGGGGTTCGAACCCAGGACCTTCTGGTTACAAGGCGAGCTAGCTCGTGGAACATTGAGTCACTGGGACCCGATCCAATAGTCCTTGAATTCTAACTTCTGCCAATTCACAACATAGCGCGCCCATTTCGCAGTGAGTTACTGCCTCATCTTCAACCTACTGTACCTTACTGGTCACGGCTTCCCACGCTGAAGAGTCTCAAATAAGGACGAAACAGCTATCCAGTACTCTCAGGTTTTCTAGTGGTTCTATAACTGATATTAGCTCATGATGGAATCCTCCATGCAATCAAACAAAATCCCTACAAATCTAATACTTGAAAACGAATTTATTATCAAGCTGTACAATATTATATATATTTTTTTAAGAAGTTATATTGGGTGAGAGAATTGATGAATAGGTGTGAATACATGAAGTAATAGTAGTGCGTCGGTGGCGCAGTGGTTAGGACTCTCGCCGACCATGCACATGGTCAGGGGTTCGATCCCCTGCCGACGCACACCTGATATCTATGGCTGGCCTGCAAAATTTGGGCTACCGATATCACATGCTGAAAATTCCATACTTGTACCAAAAATACAGTATGGAATCAAGCTGTAATCAAAAATAAAAAAGAATAAAAGTATTTATATTACGGAAAAAGAAGGCATTAAGTGGCACTAGAAACTGTTCGGTCAATATTGCACATATGATAAGAATAAAGATAAATAAAATTTCATAAATTTATTCCCCTTAGTCAGTTTGAATAAAGCAAGAACAACAGTTTTTGTAGAATAAAACGGTACCATCACTCATTATTTCGTTGCCTCCTCATCAGATGCTCACAGGCCAAAGACATTAGTAAGTGTATCTACAAAAACAATTTTAACAGTCTTGCACAGAATTCATTTTTAAACAAACATCAATCAGTCAATATATGCATACAGTAAATATATATATATATATTATATATAATATTAAACACTGTTCCGAACAATAATGATCATACACAATGGAAACTTTTGACATTACTCAATCAGATGAAAGAAACGTGAAAATACCCAGTTACTAGGACCACAAAAGACTGATAATCGATTATTTCTGAACACACAAATCGGGTTTCAGGAGCTTGTTGGAAACTGCTTTGGCAAACTTAAGGATAATTGAACTCTTCTGCCTAGTTATAATTTCGAACGATCTTGTGGTGTCCACCTCATGACCCGTGTCAAGGAGATGCCCTACGATAGCACTGTTTAGAGCATTTATTCACTTTAGACATAGGCATTTTGGCGTACATGTTCAGAAAATTGAAGATGTGCTCTTCTTTATGTTCTTCCAATGTGACTGCTCCGCAGATACATGTAAATTTGTGTACACAGTTGGAGTTAACATGTTTGTCTGTCTGTCTGTTTTCGACATAGAACTTTGCACAAATGTGCGGAAGTTCAAGTCGCCACATTCCGTGTAGCACGCGAGGAGTTAACATGAGAAGGATATCTGTCGGCTTTTGACTGCACCAAAGAGCAAGTTGTTCGGTAGATGGGAACCGGTTTAGCTGCAGGATAAACTCTGGATAGTGACGTCCTTAATCTTTTGCTGACAATTGCTGTAATATTTTCACCTTTATAATCAAGTCGACTCAATATGGGCCTTTTTCCCATTGTAATTTGTTTGACATCTGAGCCTTTAGATCTTCCGTACTTCTTAATGAATCTCTGAGGGTAACCATTGCTTTTCAACATCTTTTCGAGAAACATAAATTCTTCCTATAATTTCTCTATAGAACATAATCGCCTAGCTCTATAGTATAGACTCTTGACTAGTCCACGTTTAAAGCTACTTGGACAAAAGATATTAAAATGTAGGTATTGTCCTTTCCATGTAGGCTTTCGGTAAACTGATTTTTGAAGACTACCATCTTCTAGGCATTGGATGGCAATATCGAGGAAGTGGAACTTTCCAACACTTTCATGTTCTATAGTAAATTCAATATTGGTATGTGTGTTATTGAATAATCCGAGTAAGTGGGGAGCATGACTTTCAT